TATAAATATTTTAAAATAACGTATCAGTTTTATTAACTATTGATTTTTTTGAAGTTTTATGGACTAATGACATACATAATCAACGATAATAAGAGTATGACATAGAACAAGACACGGGAGAAGTATTATACCGTTGATTAGAGTTGACAGACAAAAAAAAAGTATTATTTACAATAAACAGTGCTAAAACAACAGTAAATATTATAAATAATTATATACAGGGTGGCCCAAAAATCAGTTAACTGTATTTCGTTTTTGTGTGTTTCAGATACAAGTACAGTACAGTCGCCCCCTATAACACTGTTAATAATTCCGTTTTATATGAATTCCGTGTTGTACGAGTCACTCAGATTTTACAAATAAGTGTGCTGGGCTGTGAACGGNTATAAAAGTAATCGAAGGGAAGATGAAGAGCAAAAAGATTGATCAAATCAGTCGGGTTGCATTCCCTATGATGTTTTTTATATTTAATCTTATTTACTGGCCATATTATTTGATCAGATTTTAATTTACTCGCCTACTATATTCTTCGTATGATTAATATTTATTTATTAAAGCAATAAATATTTGTTTAAAAAATATATATATATAGGCTATGCAGAATGAATTTGATGAGTAAAGTTATTTGAAGTTTAAAGAGATAAAATTAAATAAAAGGTTCTTATAATACAGGTTGTCCAGTTGCAGTTTTAATTATACAATGAAACCTTCATTTACGGACACTCCCGAATAGCGTATACCCCTACTTAACTAACATTTTTTTTACAATCCCCAGATCCTTCAAATAGGACACCCTTTATATTTATCTCTAAATAGCGGACAAACTTCTCGGTCTTGATGGTGTTCACTATTCGGAGGTTATACTGTATAGATAATCTTTATGAGTACAAACGAAAGAGAAGTTTCGTTGCAATTCTTAATTGTATTTGAATTAAAATATATGCTCTCGATATCAAATTAGTAGTGTCTTTCCCCTGTACATCATACTTTTCCATGATGTCATGCCATTCATGTATGTAACTCCATTCTGGAAAAAAATTTTGAATTGAAATCACGTGACTTCCGTTCTATACCGGAAGTTACTATATAACTAACCTAAGCTTTCCATATCTGGTTTCGACTTCTATCTATCTAACACTGTTCTTGAGATTAACGAAGGACAGACAAGAAGATAAACGACAGTGGGAATTTATAGGTCTACAAGTTTTGTCAGACTAAATCAATAGACTTTTCCATAGAACGAAAGAGTAAAGGAAAAAGGCGAAAGAAATGTTAGAGATAGAGAAATCTCATTAACATGGCAACTGCTCTCTGAAGGAGCCGAATTCGAGTTTGGGCCGGATGTCCTAGACACATCGCATCCCATCGTTTATTTTCTGGCCACTTTACTTGCAAACCTAACCTAATCTTTTACTAAAAATAATGCCCTCTTAGTGTCTGCAAAGCAGGAAGACTCATTTAAAAAGAAAGAAAGAAACTATAGCTAACTAGAGATGTGATTGATCGCGAAATGAACAAAATCAATATAGACACGCCTACATTTATAAGATTCGATTTCATCAACCAATCGTTGTTAATTTACATTTCAAATGATTTCTTACTTAAAGTGCAGAGGACAGCCTATGTAATAGGAACTTTTAACCTAATTTCTGCTTTTTTTTTACGCATTTCTCAATGTTACTGCACTTATTATATAATAAATTCCAAATACAATTTGTTAAATTCAGATATATTTCCAGCAAAAATTCAACAACTTGTTATGCTTTTTTTTAAAAGGAGAATACAGTTGTTTGAAAGCAGAATTTTACTTAAGAAGATCTCTTGGATATCATCTGGTACAGTCTTATTTACCAACTATATTGATAGTTGTTATCTCTTGGGTATCGTTTTGGCTCGATGTAGAATCTATCCCCGCAAGAACAACACTTGGTGTAACGACTCTGTTAACAATTTCTTCAAAAGGAGCTGGAATTCAAGTAAACTTGCCTCCTGTCTCTTACGTTAAAGCTATAGATGTATGGATGGGTACTTGTACTACATTCGTTTTCGCTGCTCTTCTGGAATTTACGCTTGTAAATTACATGGGAAGAAAGAGATACAATTTTGGAAAAAGGGATATTTCCGTTCTCCAATTGGTAAAATTAGTATATATTCTTTTTTTACTGTTGACTAATTGAATATAACCCGTGTATATCGGTCAAACTTCTATTTAGCGTTGGATTATATTAATAGTAGCGTGATCTGCGTACAAGTTTAAGTGCGAATGTTTGAAAGTCACGTGATTTGGTACATGTACCACTTAAAGGACATTCACATTTATGTAGAAGTTCAGTTTATAAACATTCATTGGCGATATACAGGGGGTAGCGCTATTTAGGAAAGCGTTATATCGAAGTTTGACTGAATGTGTGTGTTCATGTATATGTATTGTACTGTACCGTATATATAAATTTAAATAAGCATAATTATATTAAAAAATATAAAAATATTTTTTTTTATTTTTTAGGAAAGTTCTTGTAAAGATTCAGATAAAGAAGACTCAATGGTACATTTAAAAAGTAGCGTAAGAAAAACGCACTAGGAAAGGAAAATTAAATATACATTTACAAGATGTATCCAGAGCAAAACAAAATGTATCCATCACTGCACGATGTTTGCATGCAATGCTTGTTCCAGCACTAAAATAACCGAAGGAAATCAACTTAAGAGGATTTTGCATAACAACAAATAACCTCTGACTTTAAAGAGAAGAGAACATTGCAGAAATTGATACAGAAAGTTAGATTTACTTTTTAGAGAAAATGTTCAAAACGACCGCTTCAACGGCAATACAAAAATGTAGACTGTCGAGCGAGGCTTTTGGATGGCAGGAAGCATTCCTTAAGTCACCGTTTTACAGGCCTGTCGTATTCATCTCCAGTTCGCCAACATCACTCGGCGTTTCTGAATACCCATCGTACACCAATAGTTTTAAGTGATCCTATAGGAAAAAAATCCAGAGGGAGTTAAGTCTGGGGAACGTAGGGCCATGGAACAGGACCGTGTTTTTCTGTCTAGCGGTTACCCAAACTGTTCTAAGAGCCACTGACACATCTGTCCGGGAACGATGTGGTGCGCCATCATTCTGGTATCAAATCGGATTTAGTGTACCAATGGCAAGTAATCAAACCGTTTGTCCACTGTCATGTTTAGAATGTCCAGATATCGGTGACTATTCAGAGTCTACCCATATTTATATACAAGACCAAGAAACTGCTCAACCCAAATTCCATACTAGATATTTATGGTAAAACATGCTCAGTGCCGCGTGCATTGTGGAGCACGCAGCACTAAGTGCCGATTCTATTCCATTCCGAGAAAACAGTGTCTCGTCGGACAATAAAATGAGGTGAAGGAGTTTGTCGTCATGCTGTAAATTTAAGCTCATGTTGCGTTATTCAAATTGCTATGCTTTATTCTCTGCATTTTGTGCCGGTTGATGTTAGCGGCGAATGAGTACATGCCGCGGTGATGTAATATTCAATGTATTTGTGTTTGCTACAGTTCATAACCTAACCAACCCAATTCTGGAAAGATCTCTTTTACCGTAGATAGATGTTTAAGAGACCCAGGAATTACTCTATATACAGAGATATATAAAATAATTGCGAGATAGATGGCCATTCGGGAGAGATTTCCACTCGCTGTAATTCCGAAAATAGACATTAGAGATTCGATGCGCATTAGTTAGGAGTGGTGCAACTGTAATGGAAGGTGTGTACAATGATGTATTCCGAGAAATCTTCTTGGAAAAAGAAAGAGAAATAGTTTGTTTTGGTAAATAGTAAATATTTTATTTGGCGCCTATAAAAGCGTGCATATTAAGAAGCAAAAATCACAAAAATTTTTTAGAGCGACTTTGTCTTTAATATGTGAAAAATAATTTATTCATCCGACGGAAATTCAAAAATTCAAGCAAAAATCAGTGAAAACGATCTTATACGACTCATTTGACTGTGTTCGTTTGTATGTGACATTGAATCACGGGTAAATTGCGATGCCAAAAATGCGCGATGCGTCCCTCTATACAAATTCGAAGAGACGGCCCACGTGTGATACAGGGCAATTTCCCATTTCGTAAATTAACACTGCAATTAGTTACCGTTCATTGCAGTGTTACATTCAGTCATTTCAGGTGCGCGAGGAAGCTTTGAATGTTGTAATCAATGCCATTCGCACAGACAATCCACTCTCTGTAAGGAAAGCAGCATATGAGTATAACATTCCAAGGAAAACACTCGAAAGATGGGTAAAGCTTAGAAACAGAATTAAGGAATACCAGGCTCGATCCTAATTTCAGTTATTTTTTATTGATACCAAGGAGTATGATCATGTCACCCTGTACTGTATGGGTTAGATGACCAATGCAATAATTTTTTATTAGTGCTTTTTTTTGCCACGTGAATATTCTTTTCTACTCACAAATGTGTGCTAAGTGAACTTCAATTATTTTATTTAACGCTGGACATCTTTAACATCACTCTTTATTCAGGCGTGTAGGCGTGAAATTATTTCAACATGTGTTGAAATTATTTCAACACATGTTAAGATCAAACATTTTTTCATATTTAACAAACCCCATTTATTTACACTTTAAAAAACTATAATCACCCATCCTAAAATTGCTATAAAATAAAGAAAAAATAATAATAAAATGTCCTCTCAGTTTTATGAATTATTAAAAAGTTAATGTTAAAATACAGTCGATTCCCCTATAACACTGTTGATAATTCCGTTTTATATGAATTCCATGTTGTACGAGTCACTTAGATTTTACAAATACGTAAGATGTTCACAGCACGGCACACGTATTTGTAAAATCTAATTGACTCATACAACATGGAATTCATATAAAACGGAATTATCAACAGTGTTATAGGGGG